TTTTTGTGCGTATGTTACATTGTATATGTGACTAGGTGGACAATTCTATGTGACACATATTAGTTAAGAAGGATAGAATATTGTCACATTTACTTAGCAGAGGAAAGAAATTTATCTTTTTGGTATTGACATGGAAATACTTTTGCAAAATTGTGTGTCTTATTTTCAAACACATGAACAGAATTTGAAATTACAGCTTGAGTATACTTCTTTCTTGCCAGTCTATACTTCACTTTTGAGTAGAAATAATTAGGAAGGCAGAGTTGATACATATAGAATCAGAGAAGGGGACTGAGTTGGGGAACAAGAGCCAACAAGCAGACACAATCAGAGAAATGGGAATGTAATAAGGGAGAGAGGTAAAGGTCTCAAAAAGATTGAAGTGACCTGCTCAAGAGAATTTTATGGAGAATTAAAAAAGGAAAAAGATAACTAAAATCAGATTCTGACTAGTGCTGAAGGCCAAGCTGACATTAAACACTGTGAACTTGGACTAAATCCAATTGGCTTTTTTTTCAAATCTTAGCTAAACTTTTTGAAACATATTTTCTGACCAAATGGTAGTCTGATTTCAGCTAATGGTAAGATTGGTACATAAATCTATAATTTTCTGCCAGTAAAGTACTATGGGTAGAACTTCATATATTTAACAAAATTACTGAAATCCAATGTTCTAGAGAACTGTGTGAACATCATTTAGGCCATTCCCTACCAGAGCTGAAGGGCAAGAAGTTTGTTTTGTGTTTTGTTTTGTTTGATTCTGTGAACCACTGTACTTGTGATCAGAGTTTTGCTAAAGATAATAAAGAACTCAAGCACAGTTAACACAACATGTTTCTGGTCTACATTACATAGGGTTAGGGTTAGGGTTAGGATTAGGGTCATTGGTGGTGAATGACTATGTGTAGTCTGGTGTGAAGCAGCACAGTAAACCCAACAAAGGCCCTCTCCAGGAAACCTAAGCCAACAGGGCTTGAATCTGTGAGTTATTCTGTGTAGAAAGGAACTGAACAGGCACCTTGTGGGGGAGTAGACCAGAGGACATGGCAGCGATGTGCTGATGAAAAACTAAAGAGGAAGAAAAGTTTAGGACCAAGATACAGACAGAAAAAGAGAAGACAGAAATTTACATTCTTGAGGCAAAATATACAGCAAAGTTCAAAATATCTGTTTTCTTCTGGTTTCTTTTTGAAGGATCTACTACATGGTCTTCTCTTTCTGATGTTCCAAAGTGCATTCTTTTAAAATTGAATTACATTGAGTGTGTATGTATGTGTGCATTCACATGCATGCCACAATATGTGTGGAGGTCAGAGGGTGACTTGTGGATGGTGGTTCTCTCCTACCTCTATGTGGGTCACAGGGATTGAACTCAAGTTGTGGAGCTTGGCACTAAATCTTGACCATAACAAGACATCTTTCCAACACTGCCCTCTTTAATAATTCTTTTCATTTTATATGTTTATCAACCACTCTTTTAGTTAAGGTCTTCTGGTAATTAATTGGCTTTATTTTCCTTCAGTTGAGAGAGTTTAATCTTCACTTTATACCTGAATGAACAGAATCTGGGTGGAGAGTTCTTTTCCTTCCAGTATTAAAAATTACATCGGTACTTCCTTCTAGGCTGCATGGTTTCTTGTGAGAAACCAGTTGGCCTCAGTTACTTCTCAGAGATTTCATGTCATTTCCTTCCTGCTTCTTTGAACTTTCTTTCTTTGTTCATAGAGATTTCAGAAGTTGGAATACAACAGATTTACTGATAGATTTCTTTAGTGATATATTGTTTGTAATCTAACAAAGTTTTCCTGAAGATCAGAATGCAGAGGTAAGCCACGAGTTAACCACACACCTAGTTAGCCATAGAGGACAGGCAGTGGTGGCCACCCCTTTAATCTCAGCACATGGAAGACAGAGGTAGATGGATCTTTGTCAGTTCAAGACCACACTGGGCTACATGAGAGTGAATCAGTCTAAAAGAGAAACAGAGCTCACACCTTTAATCCCAGAATTAAAGAGAATATAAGGCAGAAGCTCAGTGTAGTCTCAGAGAACAGTCTGAGGATTTGTGGAGACATGATCACCCTTTAAATCTAAGGTAGAGGTAAGAGCTAGGGGCTGACTGCTTTGCTTTTCTGATCTTCAGCTTGAATCCCAATAGCTGTCTCTTGATTTTTGTTATTCCGGCTACAGATTTTGTTTATCTATCCTATTCAGGGTTCCATTAAGTTGTAAAATCTACAGGCTTAGACCTTTTGCAGAAAATCCTTTATCTTGGCTTTCTTGTATGTCATCTCTGTGATTCAGTGTTGTATTAGTTCTTGTGATATCTCTCAACCCTAAGTCTATGTGCCCCTTTTTCAGATGTTTTATATTTTCTCAATCACTGCTAGCTTTTTCTTCCCCTCTCTCCATTGTGCTGATGAGCACATCCATCAGGTTTTCTTTTATAATTCTAATGAACAGGGTTGCTTTAAGTGCCAAAGTTTCCATTGTTTTTTCTTATTCATTTATTTTTGATTTACTAAAAACTTTTTTTCATATGCCTTTTGATTATATTCTTTTACCCTCTAACTCTTGCCAGATCTTCCCTACCTCCCTATCCATCCAATTTCATGTTCTTTCAAAAAACCCTGTGAAATTAAAAAAAAAAACACACACAAAAATTGATTTTTTAAAAAAAGCCAAACCAAACCAAAGCAAAAAGCACACACAAAACATGGAGTCTATTTTGTGTTGGCCGAGTATTCCCCAAAAATGTTTCTAAGTGCTAGTAATATAATTTTATCTTTGCTATTTTGAAATCATTGTGAGGTAATTATAAAATCTGTCACCTTGGCATTGATGTCTATCAGTTTTATTTTTATCACCCAACCTTCTATCTTCCCAGGATCTTAACATTTGGAGTATTGCATTGACATACTTTTCTCTCATTTTTGCTTTGTAATTTCTTTTAAGGTAAGGTTTAAGAATGTATCTGGTTTGACCTCTCTCTGAGCTCCTCTTCCTATGCCTTCTAAATGCTATGATTACTGGATAAGCTACAAATCTGGGCTAAAATTTGTGGGTGCTTGCACAAGATAATGGGGATGCAATTTGAGGTCTTGCACATGCCAGGCAAGCACTGGGCCACTGAGTTACATCACCTTCCAATATGAGGAGGTACAACTTTCTTTTCACCTTCATTTTTACTCATCCCTTTCCAGCAAAGGAAAGAGGGGATACTGACTTGGACTGTCAGATGAAGACCAAGGTTCCCTCCTAGACATTCATGGGACACCACTTCTTTTTCTGACTAGGGGAGGATGGAGACTTTGGCTCCAATTATGATTCTACAGGCAGGTTCTGGCCATAGTAGGACTGCCTTTTTGCTATTGTCCATTTTAGCTTTGCTGACACCACAGAAAGAAGAAAAGACTCATACCTAAAGGGTAGAGATGACAATGTTGCTTCTCCACCAGACATCTCTGAGATCATGTCATAAAGAGGCAGAGAACTATCTCATTAATCTTCAGTGAGAATCCCCTGATGGAGCTCACTCTTTGTCCCATGGAGATGTCAATGTAATTTTGTCATGACTAGTTTACAACCTCATTCTCACATATCAGCCATCTTAGCATTGGTATCTGAGGAGCATGGAGGTCCAGGAACCCCAAATATCCAAATGGATGGAGGTGGGAATATAGAGTTTTAAATGTAACAAGTTTGACTAAAGTAAAGGAGGTACTACTATCTGTCAGTTTCCTGTCTGATTGGACTGCTTCTTTGGATAGAGAGAGCAGATTTTTCTATTTGTACCTGACACTTTGGCTTTCTGGCCTCCTGCTCCATGAGTGGGATTCACAGACTAACCAGCCAGGACATCACTGGGTTTTGTTCCTGGGGTCTTGAAATTCCTTGTCAGCCTGCCTTCTTTGTACATTTCATGGTCTATTTATATTGAGGTCAAACAAAAGGGATCTATAGTTGTGTTAAGTGGCGATTTGGGGGGCCAAATAAGTCTATTTTATTTTATTGGAAGAATTCCACCTTCATTTGTAATACTTAATACTTAATAATATAATACTTCCATGCTCAACTTTGATACATAAGACAAAGTTAATTGTTTGAATAGAATTAGAAACACAAGCTATTTGAACACTGTTTGCCACTGAGTTTAAGTGATATTAAATTTTGCTTTCTAATTGCCATTGACACTGGATGATAAAAATCATAAAACGGGGAATCACCTGAAATTCAGTGTAGTATTTATGCAATATATTTTCACTGTTGGGTTGTCTTAGACTTCAAATCCGTGTATGTGGCTCCTTAGAGAAATGCCGATGCTACAATGTCTTAACTTTAAATACAAATGTTTAAATAAAATGGGAGCTGGGCATGGTCACACCAGCCTTTGAGTCAACACTCAATGCCAGGAGGATTGTGAGTCCAAGGCAAGTCTCAGAAAAGAAGGAAAAATAAGATGAAATGATGATACCAATTTTGTATTATCTATGTGGGTGCTGTTAGGAATCCCTTTGTGAAGGCACTGGAAAACTGCCTCAGATTTTAGTATAAGAAGCTGAAGAACAAATTTATATTTTGTGGCATGAAGGATATAAAACCAATGACTGCGAGTTCTGGATTGGCCACATCTTTTGTTTCATTCACATGTCCACAGAGATCCCGCTCATAAATGCAGATTTCCACATTGTAATTGCTTCTCATCTGATAGCATATAGTATGCATCTGGTACTTGGTCTCATTTATTTTTGGACAGATTGGTGGATTAATATACTAGAAAAATGTTCACAAGTTCTATTTAGTAGGACAGGAAGAAAGTCCAGGTATTTTGTTTTCCTTTTCAGACTCAGTAAGAAAGGAAGGAAGGAAGGAAAAGAAAAAGAAAAAATGGTTGCTACCACTTTGCCCTCTCACTACTTCTTTCTTTGGAGGTTTCCAAAGCATGTGTATCTATCATATGATTTACCTTGTATCGGGGAAATGAAAAGCACAAGGCTTACCTGGAGAACTGAAGCACCACTATGAAGAAACTGAAGTCCACTTTCGGCTGAGTCAATTCCACCTGTGGCCAAAATAGGAAACCCAGGCAAAGCACGGGCAATGGCGGTCACAGCTCTCAAAGCAATAGGTCTGATGGCAGTTCCTGCAGAATACAAAGAAGCTTGGTGGCTAGAATGTCTGACACAGGTACACATTGTCTTATAATTACCGTTAAGCATTGGCAATATTTTACTAGGTACATTTCCAATTTCTTTATCTGTTTCAAAGTGCTTTAACTTTTCAGTGAATGTGTTTTTAAGGACATTGACGCTATTATCATATCTAGACAAGTTTCAAAGTAGATATGACAAGCCTAGAACTCTACATAAAATACATATAAATTATGGCTTGATATACAGTAATGTGTAAGATTGTATGGAGCACTCAAACATCTGTTTTAAAAAGAAACAGGGAACAGAAAGCTTTGAAAAAGAGAACAATCAGTTCTGTAAATATCCATACAACTCCTATTTTTTCAAAAGTGCAAGGGAGCTGGTATGAATGTAGAGGCTGTAAAACCAAAGTACTGAAGGATTTCCAGATTCTATATTGCTTTCTGTATGTATTTTGCACAGTTTGAAGGTTCACGGTAAGCCTGATATAATTTTACCTGCTAGAAAATTCAAATAAAATTAAAGAGAATTAACTTTACACCTTTAATTATAATACATGTCTTCATATCCATATATATATATACCATATATATATATATGGTATATATATATATATATACTAATTAGCTATTATTATTAGTATATTGGTCTCTACCCTAGCAGACATAAAAACTGCAAATAGACAGAATACACTATAGTGATTTTAAACATGAATATATTGTACTGAAGCAACTTTGGAGGCCCAACTACATCCTAGAGTGAATTAGTATTTTTGAAATTGAGCACTATTATCTGATATTCTCAGTGATCACTCAAGTTAATGATGCACTCAAAGCATTTTCTAAATTAAAGGTAGTTCTAATTATGAAATAATCTGACTGGCTTAGATTCCTATCATCATGTCTACCCCTCAAGCTAAGCTATCAGTCTGGACAATATGAACTCAGTGTGTAGGTGGCTGTTGCTTCCGGGAAGCTCATAAAAAGTTCCTTGCAACCAGTGGCTTTTCTTCTCAAAAGGCTATATGCTATATGGTGATGATAACAACAGTAGTTAGGAAAAGGCAAATCCATGGAGACAGTAAAAAGAACAGTGGTTGGAGAGAGGGGTAAGGGGAAGGATGGATGAGGAGGCAGAGCTAGAAGAATTTTAGGACAGTGAAAGTAATGACTGATAATATAATAGCAGGTGCACGTTGTTGCATATTAATCCAAGCACTGAATATGAGCCCTAGTATAAAATGTGGGCTTTGGGTGATAATGACACCCTGATATAAGATTCCCAGTTTCAACAGTTCTAACACTCAAGTGAGGGATGCTGACATGTGTCAGGGCTGCTGGTACATGAGGAATCTTTGTACCTTCCTTTCAATTCTGTTGTGAGCTGAAAACTACTCTATGAAATAAGTTCTTTTAAAAATAACTAGTTTTCTACTTAAGATGTTCATATCAAGTGGGTGCTGGGAATTGAATGCCAGTCCTCTGAAAGAGCAGTCAGTGCTCTTAACCACTTTCATATGTAACTAAATTCATGCTATTTAGTTGCTTCCTTATCACTAAAGGTGTGTATTGAATTGCCTACTTGTTTCTCTGTTACCTAAAAGCTTCCTAGAGATTACTCAATACTGACACTTCAGAATTACACAATTGGAGCTTAGAACACAGTGTATTAAGTTAAACTAAAGAGGAACTAGACATGAGGATTTTACTTTTATGCCAAAATATTTGTCGAAGGTTCTTTATACTTTAATAGGGTAATATAGCAGGCAAATATTTTAATAGGATAATATAGCAGGTAAACCAGTGCATTCAGTAATATATGCTGTAGGTATAATAAAAATAAATCTAACTATGCATATAGATAAAAGGAAATCTGTATCATAAATATTCAGATAGATAGCTAACTGCATAACATAACAGATTGTTCAATACATACTAAGCCAATGGGTTCTTCATACACATGTTACTTTGAACTAATAAAAAATATTGGGATTCTTTTTCTTCCCTTATTTAGTTTACCCAAGAGACTATAGGAAACTTGAACTAAGCAGATAAATAATTTATTTCTCACTTCACTGTTAGAAGACTATCATTAACACTAAGGGGTAAATTTCAAAGTGGTATACAGGGATTTGTCAGCATATTCCAATTGATATTAATGGACATCAAATGCCAAAATCCCAGGACAGAGCTTTGAAAATTTAACCAGTTACAGTTAAAGGGCAACATTATTACACGGGTGTTAAAAACACCAGAAAATTCTCATTGGCATTTGAAGATGTTCAATTAGGTCAATACGACATTTTCCATTTCATGTTTTCCTTCCATTTCTGAAACTTTTCTAATGTGCATAATGAACATGAAAACCTTTCAAACTAATAAAGGTATCTTTTTCTCTTTTTTTAATTAAAAGGAATTATGTTCTCTGTGGAAATGTGAACCAAAGTTGAAGACACAGATCTTCCTGTATTTGGGCAAGAATTAAGTCAGCTTTTATTTATATTATTATAAACTCCATTTGACTAAAAAAATAACGGATTCAATAGGACATACAACCTACCTGTCTTGGCATTTTTAGAGAAAATAGGTTTATAAAATGGGTTTTATCCACCAGCAAGTTATAATGAAGAACACTAGAGGTATATATAGGAAATAGTCATGCTAAAGTATAAGATAAAAATTTCCTTATAGTTTCAAGATGAGAAAAGTAAAGAGATGATAGATTCCAGACAAAAATTAAAACTCAATGTGAAGAACGTTCATGTATCCATATAAAACAGAGCTGCACATCTATCAATTAGAATGAACAGAAATTTCTAGAACCCCAGCTGCTGAGATAGTGACTTCTAAAACACTACCACTATTATGGTCACTGCTTTTAGAACAAAGAGTAGGGAAGAAGTTAGTTCATAGCCTGAGAGTTGTGAAGACAAGCTCCATCCTGTGGAAAACAACAGGTTTAAGTCAAGAAATTGAATTCCTATCTACCTAAATCAAGTAATAGGTAACACCTAATTTAAATTAATCCACTATCTACATAGGGTAGCCAGGGGAACCTGATGAAAAATCCAGTTACATCAGGCTATTTCTGTTTCAATTGTGTGGAATTCTCCAACAAAGGTCAAGTCATTCTAGGTCTCTGAATCTTGAAACAAACTGAAGGCTCAAAGAAAGGGATGGAGGAAGGGAGAGAATGAGGGAGGGAGGGGGAATGAAGGAAGGATGACCAAGTATTCTGGTTTGCACAAAAGTGGCCTCTTGGAGTCATTGATGGGCTAGACTTAACTGCCTATATAATTAATATGCTAATAAATATACTAAAGCCTTCATGTAGTCATAAATTAAAATCCATTCAGTGAGTTGAAGTTACAGATCTTTGACAAATATTACAGAGCACTTTCAGATTGACGACGTTTTAGAAAAAAAATTTTTATAACTGAAAAAATTTGGATTATGTTAATAAAGGTGATTTCTTTGGAAAAATTATCAAAATTTGGATACAATCTTAAATAGAATATTATTCACTGTAGAACTATCTTTTGGTATTCATATAAGAACACATGATTTATGCTTCTTACCTAATGTTCTTTTGTTCCTCAACCTGTTGACCAAAATATTTTCAAACATGTATGCATGTCATTTTTTTCACTCACGATATTCAAAAATGGCAGCCTTTTTTATTTTCATAGACTGTTTCAAAGTATATAAGTTCCAGCACACATTGTGTACTATCAGAAAATAAAAGCGTCATTGTTTGATATCAAATATTTTATTAATATGAATCTTATGAAGAAATCAAATTGAGGATTCATTACAGTCTGGAATAACATCAGTCAGATACTGGGGCCAACCTTTGAGGTTTAAATACTGACTATGCTACATACAGCCTGTGAAATGTTGTTAAGATGAAAATTGTAATAATGTCATGGAATTGTGTTGTGGGTGAGTTTAATGTATTTCAAGGCAAATACTAAAGACTGAAACTTGAGAATATGATCTGTGCATGTCTAAAGGACCATTAATTCCTGAGAGACTATTTGGTTAGTTCACTTTCATGCTGTCTTCTGTGTTGTTCTTCTGCATTTAGTGATGCATTGAAACTGACTTTTATAAAAAAAATAAAGAAGACATAAGCATGATGCCTACCTTGATAGACCTTTATACTCTCTGATATGACCTCCCCCTTCTTCTTTTTAACACCTGTCATTTACAAGTATCATAATATTGATCAGATTACTTTTGACTCTAAATGTACAAACCTCAGAGTCCAACATCAGTACGTTAAGAATTCTTTTGCAAGAAAAAGATCCAGTCACTACACCAATATAAAAGGATTTTAATGATATTAGAGTAAAGTTTTTTTCTGGTGAAAAGGGAGGAGAGATTTACTTTGCATGACTGAATCACTGAAGGAAAAAGGGGATTTTTTAATGGGCAAGATAGTGTGGACTGTATGCTAATTTTGGCTAACTGGAATTTTGAATAATTGGATTTAATTCTGTTTGTTTCCCCCCATAATCACTTGACTCCTAGGATAGCTACGATTACACAATTAATTGATAGAACTAAGTCCACATAAACTCCCTGATAATAGCTCAAAGCTGGCAATAAAACAGAAGCCAGGTTGTAACAGTTGCATATACTTACTGCATATACAAATGAAAAATTCAGCTTTAATTTGCTTGTATTAATTAAAATATAATGAATTAAGTGGGTAACATATTTATTAGAAATTGAATTTTGACTGTCTAATTGTTATAACACCCAGAATGAAAAAAAAGTATAAGCAAATGAGGAATTTCAAAGATTTAGGAGTTGAAAGATTGATTTTTTATAAAACGCACTTAAATCAAGTAGCAGCAAATTTATGCTTCATGAAAACAAGTTTAAAATGTTAATGAAGCTAATATACTGATAAATATGTTCAGCACAACTATTTAAAAATACATCTTTACACATGGATTAAGATCTTCTGAGAAAATGAACATAATTCAACCAGAAACTGATGCACTAAAACTATTGAGGGTTATATGCAGATATGAA